AACCGTGCATGGATGTAGCCACCGTGCCTGCTCTTGTGGAGACCCTCGGCACCGCTCGAGATGGGTGTACTCTGGGCACCAACGCTAACAACAATAATATATTGGTAGTTAGTATACTTACCTGGTGCTCCATCAAAAAAACAAAAAGGCGAGCAAAAGGCAATCAAGCCAAAAAAAATTCCCCGACCGGGAATCGAACCCGGACCTTGTCGGGCGCTCACTAGTAATGGAACACTTGAGAGCGACATATCATAACCACTAGACTATCGAGGAGTGATGTGTCACTTAACCGTAAATATATAACTGCCTGAGTATTGAGACACCACGCAAAAAGTGAACCACGTTGCAACAACTTGTCCTCCCCACTTAAAATGTCAAGCGCCTCACTGATTTTTGAAGTTCGCCACCATCAATACATCTTTCACCTATGTTTTTTCTGGTTGCCATTTGATGTCCATGGCTCCAAAGGGCCCCATGATTCATTGCTTGGAAGGCAATTAGCGTAGGCCTGCACTGGCCCTCATTTCTTCGCAACTTTCTCTCGTATGCGGTCCATTAGAACATGTAGCAGAGCTGGAAAGGCCGCTGGCGGTACTGGAGGACAAAGAATAGGAAGACCCTGTACAAAAGGGTACCGGCAAAGCAATTCATTCTCGCCGAAATAGCATGGTGCGCGCTCAAGCTAGAAGGCGCTGCTGGAGGGGTGAGCGCCGATCTGCTGTATTTTCGTTCTACACCATGCCTCGGAGCGCAGTGAATTATCCGGGGTAACAAAACTGACGACTCTGACAGATCGAAAGCGCTTTGATCAGTATTGCTTCATGCATTAAGCGGGAATACACGCGTATAGCTTCTTTGCATTTGAGTCTTGCCACAGCGAAAGGAAATTGAAAGATGATTCAAGCACCCCGTCTGAAGCATTCAGCAATTGCTTTGGTGCACTGAGCGTATGTTGTCTCAGTACAAGGTACTCAGCATTACCATTAAATCTGTCAAAAATGATCTCATTGGGCAAACGCGGGCGGCAGCTCGAGCATAGCCATCAGGTCCAGGAACCCGTTGCCCTGAGGATCGCCACCAATATTGAAGCTGAAGGGTGACATGCCCGCCAGATTGCTCGGCTGCTGGCTCAGGCCAGGTATGGCCAAACCCAATGGCGGCATTCCCGGAACTTGCAAGAACTGTTGGGAGGCCTGCATCAGCCCTTGAGTCTGCGCCTGTGGCTGCATCCCTTGCTGGGAGTTCTGCAGCTGCTGCCTGTAGGCTTGTATCTGTTGCATGCCGGCGACCGCGGCTGGAGACATTGCAGGAGCCTCAGAATGCATCACAGTGGGTGGGAACGCGGGTAGATTGGAGCCTGGGAACGCTCCTGGCGACATCTGCTGTCCAGGAATTTGTACCATCGGTCCTGACGCGTTGGCGAGCAGCACAAGCCCATCGGCACCATTGATGCGCGGTTGCATCGATTGCATCTGCTGTGCTTGCTGTTGATGCGGCTGCTGTATGGTCGGCGGATGCGGCTGCTGCTGCTGTGGTGGTTGCAGCATACTTGTGCCCGGCTTCCACTCATTGTAAAAGACCTGTTCCAAATCGAACAGACCTGGGGCGTACGAATGAGCTGAGGCATTGGGACGCTGCCCGCCAGAGCCGCTGTTCGCATAAAGCTGTAACATTTGCTCCCTCTGTTGCGGTATCCATGCCTCCGCTCGATCTTGCTGTCCTGCGCTCTGCCTCCGCTCGCGCGCAGTCGACGCAGCCACGCTCAGGTTTTGCGGAAATGATGGCGGAGTCTCGTCCGGCACTAAGCCTTGACCCTGTCCCTGCGCCGTGCGCGTGGCGACGCCGGTACGGCCAGTCTTCTGTTGCGGTGCAGGTGCGCTGCGCGCATTTGAGACTTCCCAGGATGTTGTAGCATTGCTTGACGCGCGTGAGCGGCGCAATGGAGAGCCGGGAGGAGCATCCGTGTTTGCGCCCGCACCCGTACCGTTGGACGCGGACGACGGAGCCATCAGGTCAAGCACGGTTGAATCTTCGGTCAGCACACCTTCACCGACCATCGAAAAGCCGTCGAGCAGCTGCTTGTGCGCCGAAGCAGCCGGCCAAGTCTCGGACAGCTTCCGCAGAGACTCTCGGCACAGCATGAAGCGGCGCTTGGCGTCTGCAGCAATAGTAGCGTCGGGCAGGCACGCGTTGAAGACGAACATTACGGCGGCAGTGAAGAAGCAGTACGACAGGTCCGTGGAGAGCCGGTCGATTCGGACGTACTGTGACGTCGTCTCCAGCACGTCGCATATGGCGTTAGCCGCTGCGGTGCACTTTCGGTGGCTCTCATTGCGCAACACCTCGGACAGCGCGGCGCCTTCGTCCTGAGGGATAAAGTTGCGGTGCAGCAAGAGGATGCTCGTGTGGTACCACAGTTCGAGCGCCAGAAAGACAGGTAGGGAAACAGACTCGGATGCCTTCGTCTGGCGCAATCGGTCGAGCAGCGGCGCGGTACGCATGTATGAGGGTAGCGCTGCGTGCCATTCGGCAAGCTCAGCATCGACGGCAGCAACGGAATCGAGGATGTTGCCCTGCTTTCTCAGTGCAGCCTTGCGACGGAAGGAGTGGAATTCGCTGAGGATCTTTTCGAGAATGATGAAGAGTTTGATGCTCCAATTGATGCAAGGAGCAATGTTCATCATGCGTGCCTCACCTCCTCCTTTGCTCTCTTCACCACTGGCACTGCTGGACGACGGCGCCCCGCCGACAAACAGCTCGATCTTTTCGTCCCCGTCCTCGAGGTTTTCGGACAGAAACGGCGCGTCGAGGTCGCTGCTGCGGATCGTGACGGGGCGGCCCATCTCAGCCGAGAGGATCTTGTCGAGGATGTAGCACTGCCAGATGAGGCGTATGCGTGTCTCGCGCTCATTCTCGTCGTACAGAAGATCGTAGCGGTGCACCGGCCAGCGATGGAGGCCCAAATCGAACGCCATTGTGCTCGCCAGATTAGAGTAAACCCACGCCTGCGACAATTCGCCCTTGCCGTGCGCATACAGGCTCAGCAGGAACAGACTCTGGATCGTCGGGACGTCAGGGCGCAGCCGGCCGGCGTACAGATATCGCTCGGCGCGCTCATAAAATATCTGCCCGCGATTCTCCTGCTCCTGCTGCGAGCCGTCGGACTTGGTCCGCTCCGGGGGAACTATGCACGAGGCGACTGCATAGATGCTGAAGAGCAGCACCGAGTCAACCCGATCGGCCACCTCCTCGGTCGGGATGTCGCGAATGGCAGGCTGTGGATACAAGGCACGACGGTCGTGTCAGCGTCGCATCGGACAACATGTCCAACGCTTTGAGCGTATCTCACCTTGAACAATACTGGCCAGAACGGGTGAAACTCCTTCCAGTAGTACTCAAACAGCCGCCCACACTCCTCGCGGTCGACAACCGGGTCGTTATCCGGGTTGACAAAATCGATCGGCGCCTCAATAAAGTCTGCGTCGCCATCTTCCATCGCATATTCTTGTTCAGCACGAGTCTCAGAATGAGTCTCGGAAGCGGAAGCATCGCCATTCGCTTCTACCCCAGCTCGGTGCGATCGGCCTTGGTTCCCATGCTCCTTGGCGTCCGTGTCTGCCTCACGCGTCGTGGCAGGGCCAGTAGTCGCCGAAAAAGGAGACGAAGCCGCTCGCTCGTCATGCCGCCCATGGCACTCAGCCTCCCCTCGGTCATAACCAGCTCCGTGGGCTTTAGCATTCGGATGTGCCTCGCCACCAGCGCCGCTGCCAACTTGGCCGTCCCTCCGCTTCATCGACCGTCCGCGGACCGGCGAACGGGAGCGCGACGCGCTGCCGCGGCTGAGCGACCGCGCGGCCCACGAGACCGCCACGGCGCCGGCGCCGTGGCCACGGAAGCCACTCCTACCGCGCTCGCCGTCGCCTGCACCCGTACCCCCACCGGCGCCACGCGGCTGCACATGGCCGCCCGGTCCGAGCCGCGGCGATGCCGGCGCATGCCCGTATCCGCGCCCGTGTCCGTGCGCATGTGCGTGTTGATGCGGCAGGGGCAGCGGCAGCGGGACGGGTGCGCCGGGCGTATCGCGCAGGGGCCCGTATGCAAGTGCGGCGTGTCGCACACGGCTGCTGTCGCGCGAGCGCGAGCGCTGCTGGCGCCGCTGGTGTACCGCATTGGCGGCGGCGGCAGCTGAAGAGGATGCCGTGGGCGCGTGCTCGTCTGGCGGGGCGCTGTCGTAGTGCACATGCGCTTGCGCGTGTGGGTGGGGATGTGCAGGGGCAGATACAGATGCAGATGCGCTTCTGGCGTCGACGCAGTCCTTACCGCCACCTGGCCCACTCGTGGCGCCAGGTGTAGAGCGCGACGTGCCTTGGCGGGAATGACTGCGTCCACGTTCGTCTGTGCCGATGACATGGTCGAGCTGCATCGCATGATGCTGGTGTTGATGTTGCTGCGGATAATGAAGGTGTTGATGGTGCTGGTGCTGGTGCACCTGCAGGCCACCGACACCACCGCCGCTGGAAGGGCTAACAGAGGAGGAAGAGTGCGGAGACAGATTCAGCCTGCTGCTGGCATCTTCTCTGCCTGCGAGCGGCGAGGTGTGGTGCGGAGGATGGTAGGCGTGGTGAGCATGGTGATGCAGGCCGCGCCGCTGATGCAAGAGCTGGATGCCGGAGCTGGACCCGCGATGCATGAGGTCGCCGCGCTCGTTGACACCGAGAAAGTCATCGCCGTCTTCGTCTCCGTCTCCGTTTCCATTACCCGCGCCATCACCATCCCGCTCGCGTTCGCCATCGCGCTCAGCGTCCCATGTTGCACTGCTCCTACTGGCAGGGGACTGCGTCCGCGCGAGGTTGCTCAGGGAAAGCAATCCCTGCGCCGAGCTTTGCTCGTCATGTTCGCGTCGCCTGCTCGCGGAAGACTCGGCATCAAAGCGCCCGCGCTTGGCCGGGCGGCGCGTTTCCGCTGAGTCACCTTCAGCGACAACGGCTGCTACTGCCCCGCTAGCAGGAAGCTCAGAATAGGACGGTACTGCTGTTGCTCCGCCGTCCAGCTGCGGCAAAGAGAGATCAATCCCCTTCTCCGCGCCTAGCTTGCGCACCTCTTCGGCCGCCTCGTCGGCGCCGAGCTTGCCAATGAGGTCGCGGAGCGTCGTCTCGAGCGTGCGTAGCAGTTTGACCTTGGCGCTCTCCTTGGGGCCAGAGCGAAATCCCTTGGGCGGACCGCGCTTGATGGTCGACGCACTGTACGTGCACGGCAGGTTGAGCACGGTGCAGACGGAGCACTGCGGTCTGTTGCCGTCGCAGCGGCGCTTCTTGGACGAGCACGGCAGGCAAGCCTTGCCGATTCGCGTGCCCTTACCCACAGAGGGAGTGTTGGCACCGCCGGCAGCTGCGGCGGTCTTGAATGTAGAGCCGGCGGGGGAAGACTTATCTGTGTCACCGCCGACCATGAGGACATTGGTCGAGGGGCTGTCAGCTACGGAATTCGCGTCGCCCGCGTGGCCGTACGCAGCCGGGGGAGAGGGCATGAGGATAGAGGAGGATGGATTGTAGCGCGGCTGCCCGTTGGCCATGACCATCGTGGCGGCCGTGGCGAGGTCTTCGATACCCGGAGAGGGCACGCTGCTACTGCTGCTGCTGCTGTTGTTGTTGTTGTTGTTGCTGCTGCTACTACTATTGATGTATGGGTTATGCATCCTCGAAGTAGCGCCTGCGAATGCTGAGTCGTTCTGTTGCTGCGCCTGCAGCTGCAGCTGCTGTGGCATGCTACCCGGGCTGTCAAATCGGCCGTCTGGATGGTACGGGTGATGGTGATGGTGGTGCTGGCGCGACATGGCTGTCTAAGAACCCCCAGACCACGGCCACGGCAAGCGTGGGTAAGCGCACCGTCTCTTTTCTCTCGTGCGGGTGCCCTGCGAAGCTGCCCCGGGGTTCACTGTCGACGGCGTGGTTGTCTCTACGGGAGATGGCCATCCCCCAGGTATAATGGGAGGTGTGTGCAGGTGCGGAGTAAGTGACCAGGACGATGCGGATAAGTAAACCACGACATTCAATTGTTGTTAGCGTTGGTGCCCAGAGTACACCCATCTCGAGCGGTGCCGAGGGTCTCCACAAGAGCAGGCACGGTGGCTACATCCATGCACGGTT